GAGACCCTGGGAAAGTTTTGTTCCAGGTCCCCCCGCAACCTCTCGGAGGGATAGCGCTTTGACCATTGAGATACAGAGTTATGTTGCCAATTATGTCACACATAATTACTAATCTCTGATTTTGTCTCTCTAATAGTGGATGGATCTTCAAGATGGCAAGTGCATGAGACTTACCATTTGATTTCAGTTGTTGAGTATTGTTGATTGCGTCTTCCGCGGTAGGTTTTGGGTCCTTTTCTTGTCCCGGTTCCAGTTCTAAACTGTCAGTAACACCTAAAAAGATTTGTGGGTATTAAGTTCCCAAACAATGGTCACTACCTACCCACCCACCAGCTACACACCCACCTACCTACCTACCAGGCATGGTGTTAAACCATTGCATTTAACTATACGGCTTAGCAGAGGAAATTGAACATGAACGTCACTGGCAAATGAACATATAGTTGAAGAAATTCTTACCATTTTGTTTCTTATTTGCTCGCAATAACGGCGTTGTTTCCATGACGTCGGTCACTTTTGGTATTTCATGACTAAAAGAACTTTCACCTTGATCTTTTTCATGTTTCAGAGCACCATTTTGTGCCGCAAAATAATCATCTTCCTTGCCATTTTGAAATGATTCTTGAGAAATTTCGATAGCTGTTCCAACTGCGCAGCACGCCAGAATAATACAACACAATATTCTGAAAAAGAAGGTATAATATAATGATATCTCAAACGTGTGGGTCCGGTTGAATTAGCGTCTGAACTACATGGAAAAGATTAAGGCAAAGTTTAGATAACTCCTCATGAAAACACTAGACTGCAATGTCCAAATTTGGGTCGCAAATGTAATTTGAATCAAGATCAGGTCTGTTTACAGTTACCAGTAGTGTTACTCCCCCCCCCCACTCCCTCAACGTTGGAAGTGTTACTTTCGTCCCTACGCGAAAACCCCATACCTTTCACAAGTGAGGAGACTGAGCCCAATTGTCTATAGTCCCGCCATTGAGTAGCCCCTTATGGGGGTCTTGATAGGATATGGAAAATTTTTGAAGTTCAGTTCTAAGTGGCCATTTCCTGCGTTTTCATGGGAAAATCCTTCCTAATTCTTCTCCCTTTCCTTTCTTTCCCCTTTTCCTCATTTCCTTCTTCAGGGACACTTTCTTCCGGGCTTAAGTTTAGTTATACCGGTATATTAAATGTTCTACTCCTTACATAGTGAAAACAACGGAAGTAGTATAAGATGGCTCTTCATAACAGCTGAGGTCAACAACACGAATACTTGGAAAATAGCGACGAGTCACTATAAAAATATCACAATATTTCTTTTCAAATTCACAAAATATTACTAAAGGTAATACTAAAATGGCCGTTCATATTCAAATTAGAGCGATCTAAGACCGATCCGAGGCTGGTTCTCGGACTTCTTGTGGAGTATCGACACTTACTACCGTTAATAACCGGGAAAAAATGCCAAGCTGCTAAGCAAGCAATTAGCTCGGTTGTAAAACGTGAACCGATCGGAGACCACTTCTGGAGATGGTGTACACACATAAAAACGCACAAGTTGTTGCAGGTCTGGAAGTTTGGAACAAGCTGTTAACAACTTGTAACAAAGCTGTTCTAACAAGTCTGATACAGTAATGATAGAACAGGAATTTTACAAGGTTGACGACACAAGTTTGTAACAATATTGTTATAACAACTTGTTGGAACAACCTTGTAACAAGTCTGATATAATATCAACAAGGATGTTACAAGTTGTTGACAGCTTTTTCCAAACATGTTGACAACTTGGGACAAGCAGTACGAACACAACTTGTTGGCAGACTTGCCACAAAATGTGAGATTTTTACGTGTGTAATTATAACTTAGATCCATCTCGAATGGGTCTCTCATCTCGTTTTTGATGCACTCTTGACCCGATACAAAACTGAATCGATTTCGGATCGATCTAGATCGCTAGTATGAACAACTCATAGAGAAACTCGTAATACTGTATTTCATGAAGAGCATCAGTTAAAATAAATGATATTTTTGATAGCCACCAACCATTCTCTACAAAATTTTCAACGACAGTAGAAACATCCGAATTATTACACGCATCAGGAATACAAATTCCGCACCAGATTGGGAAAGTCTAAAATGATAGTAAGAAATTATTTTCCTAAACTATATTTGGCAGTAAGAATTTAACCAGCACTTGTGGTCGTGGTCCCAACGCTTGCCGTTCAAGCTAGTGGGAGAGCCGGGTTCGAACCTTGGTCGGACCTCTATACTCAAGGTCTTAAAATAATTGAGGAGAAAGTGCTACCTATACATTGACATCAGTAAATGGTTAGATTTTCTCGTTTTATCGGATAAAGTCGTTAAATCGTAGGTATCTCGGATCCCCTATACAGTATCTGTTGGGAAATCCGCTCACCAATGAGTGCATAAGAAACTCAATAAAAAACTAAATTATCGACTGGGATATTGACGATATTGGGATTCGATTTCACAGTCATATATAAAATATAAGAACTATAAAAGCTGCATAATACTACCTTATTTGTACGAAATTTTCCCAGTACATTGACCAGACAATACTTAGCATCGGGAATCCCTATGCACTGATCAAATGCACCAAACCATTTCACATTTCCACTCAGAATTCCACTGCCTGGTTTACCCCAACTGTCGAAATCTAGGGGCATGAAAGACGAATGTGAACTGTAAGAAAGCGTGAGGGGTACGGGGTTAGGACTTGTTGATGCCACAGTGGTTGGTCCGCCATCTTATTCACGCCGATGCATGCAGTGGTCTTAACGGCTACGGTACGTTACGATTGAAGTGGAAAACGTTTATTCGCGCGAAGCGAATTTTTCATTTGTCTTTGGTCTCTCATTCTCTCAACTGCATGGAATCATCTGGAAAAAAATTCGCTTCGCGCGAAAAAATTCGCAAGTGGAAAACCGGCATTGGATTGATATACTATATACGACAGACCGGGAACCAAAAACGCCAGACTTCAAAAAATCGTGTTTGAAAGTAACTGAGTTCCACAAGTTCTCGAGAGCTATAGGTGACATAGGTAGACTTCGAACAGCTAAGATGCAGTTGACCTCAAAATACGATTTGAAGTTTGCCGTTTGCTCGAAAAAAGTGATCGGTATTTGTGACTCGTTTTTTATGAAAATTTATTATTTAGTTTTATTCAATCAATCACGCGGAACCTGTTCATATAATAGTTTGGTCGCGACCCAATATATAATATAGGAGAAAACCTGCCCGCATGTTTGGTAGAGATAAACTGGAAGCATTAATCTTCTCACACATGACTGAGCCGAAAGTACAATATCGTGCAAATGTTTAGGCCCTCATTTTATATGGAGGCGAGTTACCCGGCTATAAGCGAGTTGAAAAGCGCATAAGATCAAAGGCTTCTTAGCCTTAGGCTCATTTAATAGTCTTTCATTATATGCAGTTTTCAATTTCAACTCGCTTAGCCGGGTAACTCGCCTCCATATAATCAGCACCTTAAGGCCCACTTCCACGGACAGAAAATTTTGTAAAATGTGATTGGCCGACACAAGTTTTCCGTGGGAAAAAATTTTGAAGTTGAAAATTTTCAACTTTTAACAATGATATTTTCGGAATATTTTCTGTCCGTGGAAATTTTTCTTGAGTGGAAATGGGCCTTTAGTTGTGGGAATCGAACCTCGGGCACAGCTTTCCTACTGAGCTTGCATGACATCTGACCAGCGGCAAAAGAAGACGATTGCTATGCAGTTCTGTCGACATTTACATGCATTAACTAAGTATAAACACTAGTCATATCGACGGTATACTTTGGCCCCTACAGGGAGTAGACATTTCTCTAACATTGAGTTACCTTTCCACAGTGTAAATAGTATTAATCGCGTCGGTTAAACCAACTTACATTGCCATCTTTCATCAGTGTTCAGACTTCTAAGCGTCTTATTGCACTTCTCACTAACCCCATGAAACACCATGGCTGAAAACGTCTCCTTTCTTGAACTATACATCGAAGCGCCGTCCATAAATCCATCGAATGTATTGCCAACCTGACTTTGTAATACCATGAAGAGAACGATATAGATTTTAATGTACCACATTGTTCGGAGTGTACAGTTCCTCACTGGCATAATTATCAATTGACCTGTTTAATATTCGAGTATACATTGACATGCTAAGTTCAGTCAATAAAAAACTCCGTCATGCGTGCAAAATTAGACATTAAAGAGTTGCAAAATTCAAATCGTGTTTTGAAGTCAGCTGTTAAAATTGGAGCATGAAAGCTGCATGCTGTTAGAAAACTTGTAGAACTTACTTTCAAATTTGAAGTTTTCATGCCGTTTGCAGTCTACCTTAGTTAAACGTCAATCTGTAACTCTCTAACATTGGCGGATTAAGGCATGTTCAATATCAGTGCATGCTAATCAGTAATGTAGACTTTTACATAATTTTGTTGTTTTAAATTATAGATACAGTTATGCTAATTCCTATCTTGAATGAGGGCATGTGTGTGCCGGGAAGTTCACGCGAGTAAAGCATAGTTTAGAATGTTAGGGTTTGTAATCCAAGTGAGAATATATACATTTTAAGACCTAACCAGGAACGACTGCGAAAAATGCAGCACAAGGTCCTCTGGTAGGAATTGAACCTACGGCCCTGCGATTCCGGTGCAGCGCTCTAACCAACTGAGCTACAGAGGCCAGCTGTTGAGCTTTAATCGTAAGTTCATGTATATTTAGGTAATCGGGTGTGCGGGTTATGATAAGGTGGACTTCAATAATTTGGATTCTTGCACTTCACTTGGTGGACTTAATATTAGAATGTTAGGGTTTGTAATCCAAGTGAGAATATATACATTTTAAGACCTAACCAGGAACGACTGCGAAAAATGCAGCACAAGGTCATAGTTTCCATATGGTCGTAAAAATTGAGTTACGATCTTTCTCATCAGCCGAAATACAAAATTTTAGAACTGAAAAATGAAAATACGCGAAGTGATTAGAACAAGAGAATACTTATGATTTATATTGTATTTATACTCAATGTTATATTTTTTGCTCAATGACGTAGACTCGCAAATATTCATGATTTTAATGCAGTGTAGGTTGTGAAAACTAAGGCCAGTTTTATATACGTCGAATTTTGGTCGCGTCGAATGCAATTCAATTTGTGCAATTCAATTATCTATTGTTTGAATTGCATTCGACGCGACCAAAATTCGACGAACAAAACGGGCCTAATTGGTCAAAATGACCAAAAATAATTGGTCACCTGGATGCATCTGAGAGAACCAATTAAAATTATGGTCGTTTTAACCAATAAAATTAACCATTTTATTAATTAATCAAAACAACCAAAACTATTACTGGTTGAAATTATATTAACCAATTATTACTGGTTGAAATGACCAATTAATTAATGGTTAATTTTATTGGTTAAAACGACCATTTCGACCAACAGTTTTGATAGTGCACTTGACCGAGCTCCTCCCACCTAGATCTCACCTATAGCTGCATGTTATAGCTAAGCCCATGTAAACAGGCCCCAGTATATATTTGACTGTAAATTTAATAGTAATTTGACTTGACAATGGCGCAAGATACACCGCGTCGAAACGCCGTCATGAAATTAAAGAACCTTACAGGTATATATTATCTAAGAACTTTTGGCTTCCCTTGGCCTATCGTGTTCCATTGCCAATCCTTTTGAAGTTCGGTCACCACTCCAATTATATTATTTTCTACATAAACTTTGATCTAAAAAGTCATGGAGCATATAAAATTATAAAATTTGGAAAACATATATGCATAAAATTATCATTTCCACAAATCGTTCAAGTCATTATTGTCACTATGTCGCAGTTCAGTCAATGCCCATTTTTTATTGTCAATTTCGGCCGTAATATCACTGTATAATTGCACCAAGTCGTCAAAACCCATGCCAATTGATTTATACGCCTTTAATGATTGCGTCACGCGATGTAGTTCCTTTTTCGTATCATTTTCTTTGGTTTGGAGACTTTGTCTGTTAACAAGAAGAAAAAATAAAGTCAGGACCTCTTTTAAAATATAGACTGGGGAACCAAGAACCCCCCCCCCCCCCCCCCCCCCCC